ACCTTAGTTTTCTACTATTTTTTCTTTCGATAAATCCACAGTACCTTAAATAAATACTACGTATCATTTTAGGCTCTTCGCTATCAACCACCATCAGTACTTCCACAAAGGGCTTCGTGTTTTTGATTGAATAAGCACATAGGCAACTCATGTTTTTCTGAATAGTTTCCTCAAAAGTTAGAAAATCCAACCAAAATGTATATAAATTTGGCCACTTCCATAACTTTGAGTAAACTATTTCTATTGTGTGTTAAAATCTCCAATCCTCTCAAGCATTAACTCACAATGGGAATCGTATGGAGTGCAGCACAAGTGTTTCCGATTTCATAAGCAATCTTGCACCGTCGGTTACGCAACAATATTTTCTTGGTTTCTCCGATTTTCTCAACTACTCCAAAAGCAATTCAAATAAGTAGATTATATAAAATTTATCAATGGATCTTAGAAATGGTCTCATATTGATTGTTCATGTGAACATTTAGAAGCCCCTACTTATACCATTCCAACCATTTTGTTATTATTACAGCCCATGTTTGCCGGCTGCCGCTGTCTTTGTTAATTCCTCCATGTATTAATAAGTTGTGTTATAATCATCTTTCAAGGTCCATGTATGCAGCTATACATAGACGGAGGTTTAAAGCATGTACCATATTTATAAACTAAACTCGTCATGTTAAAATAAGATAGACTTCAGATAATATTATATGCTATGAAAAACAAAAGTTTGATATCCATTCCTATCCAGGCAGCATGAAGTTGCATGATTGTATCACCATTTATCTTTTAGTTTTTTATAGGGTTTGAGTTAGCTATTTAAATTAGGAAAATGGGTATGGTTGTTGGGTCAAAATTAAGTTGGGGAAAAATAAATAGATTTTGGGTGTCGCCATTAATGCTTAATCCCTCACGAGCGCTAACCACTGCCTGAATGCTTAAATGTTGGCTAGTTGCCACATATACGACACATAAAAACTTTGAAGAAGATAAATTCTTCCTTTAAAATAACTAATAATTCAATAAACAAGCAGTGCAATATGGTATGTCAAGATTTGGGAAGATTTGTCTTCGATTGTGCTATAACATTTGATGTAAGCCAAAGTCCATCTCATTTTAACATGATGGTGAGTTCGGTTAGCAATTATGGTGCAAGTTTTACACATCCATTTAGATATGAACTGCTTACATTGAATCTTGAAGTTAAAGTAGAGCACAACAACAACAACAACAAACAACTATTACACCAGTGCCGCAAAGGCTCCCACCTACGGTGGGGCAAAGGGGGTCGGATGTACGCAGCTTAACCCTATACTAAAGCACATAATCAAAATATAACACAATTAATGAATATGCAGAGGAAGTGGAAAAGACATGGAAGCACACTGGAGTTTCCATCATGTCAAATGATCAGAGTAACATAAGAAGTAAGGGCTTCCAAATATACTTGTTCCTATTGAAAATATCGAAGAAGATAATGTTTTTGAAGATTTAACGTCCAATGCGAGTGCAAGAAGTGCATGTGCGTATAAGGTTGTCCAATGTGATTACTTGTATTGGACTCCATGTGTCACTTATTCTTGTTGATTGAGGAGACTTTCACACCTCAAAAAAACAACTTTACTTAAAGCTATTAAGGGAACCAACTTCATCTATAACCATGGGTGTGTTTTGAAATTTATGAGGAATCTTATTCGGAAATACCTAGTTCAATGGGACCACACAAGAGTAGTGACATATATTCTTTAAAGGATGTAAGGGATTTTTGTTTAAACCGGAATGCCATGCAACTCTAGCTGAGGGCTAGGAGATTAAAAAACTCAATGAACATGTTGAGAGCAATTAATAGTGACAAATAGACAATGAGATTTACTATGGTGCAATTGATTTATTAAAAGAAAAAATAGTAGAGAATTGAGCCAATCAATACTCAATTATATTGATATATGGAGAATACTTGATGAAAATTAGAAAATGAGAACACCAACTACATTTAAATTTGCATTTTGCAGCAAGCTATTTGAATCTTAGATTCATCTGGGCGGATGGCTTCTCCAACAATGTGATACTAGTATACTACCATTGTCCCCTAAAATTGGGACAAAAGGGGATGGTGCGGTTTTTCAGAAAAGTGAAATTTGCTGCACAGGGTTGCTGATGTGAAACTCAGGGTGAATCTGTAGGGGCGCTTTTAAAACTATGGTTCACACCTATAGAAGGAATGCCTATGTATTATTAAGTTGAAGAGTTTGGTTTGCATAACATAAAACAAGATATTGGCATGTGAAAAAAGATTACATGCGAAAGAGGTATTGCTGAACCAAATTAAGAAGAAGCTGAAAAATATTATTGGAGGTGATGAGCTTGCATTGGATGTTGATAAAATGGTCAAGTAATTAAGAGCTTCCTTACTTGGTAATTTATTTATACACTCATTTGCATTACTTTGATGTTCAAAGCATTTAGCAAATCCAAAATATATTTAGTTGCATTATAGTTACTTGCATTATAGTTAATTCTTTATTTCTTTATGTCTCTGTGTATTTAGTGGTACGCAGCTTAGAGGTGGCATGGAAGAAGATAATGTGGCATGTGATACAGATGGAGATGGATAAGGGAATGAAGGTAAAAAATGATGCAATAGATGATGCACTTAATTTTGAAGGTTAATAGTTTAAAACTTGGAACCCAAAGCCTAAAACCTACTAGTAGTAGTATTTAGCCTGCAAGCTGCGTATTTTATCCTTCTATGACCTACTTAGGTATTTTATCCTTTTATGCCTTATTGTTTTGTTATTTTGTTCCTTTTTATTGTACTAGTATGTTTTTATCAGTTCAACTATTTTGGTATTTTAACCTATTTTTCAAATTCATTTTTGTATAAATTTGAGGGTTGATCTTCTTTTCGTCTCAAGGGCCTGGTTTCACCTTCCAGTACCTCGGTGAATACAGAATACCAATACTTGTAACTGTTAATCAGAAAGAAGATCATTTAGTCCCAGGATACACAAAACACAATATCACATTTTCTTCAGCTACAGTATAATGATAAATAATGAAGCGACAACTAAGGCTACCCAAAAGGATCTTGTTGGGGTGAAACTGATTTTCAACTGACTTTTATAGGAGATATAATGTGAACAATCATCACTTGATCATTTTACTTTATTTGAATGTGAGTTCATTCCTTAGAACAACATGAAGAACATGACAAGGATATCTGGCCTTCTGTCATCAACAAGTTCAACACTCCAGTTATAATTGAGAATCCTCTAGTGGATGTTACTACCAATGTTGCAAGGCCACAAATGGTTTCAAGTTTCAGCTATAGATTCATAGGTATAAGTGATATGGAGTCATAATAAGTGAATATAATGAAGCCTGGATTTAAATAAGATGAACATACAGCTCACTCAAGCAGAACTCTATATAAATATGCCTGAGATAATTAGAACTTTGATTTAGGCATAAGTTCTTAGCTTCTAGCTTTTGTACTATTCTAAAAGTCTCTAATAGCTTCTAATTGTATGTTTGACACCACAATTTTTAAGAGTTTTTTCAAAAAAAAAGATCTTTTTTGATATGTTACATTGAGCAATGTTCTAATAGGCGGCAAAAGGCGGGGCCTAGGCGCGCCTAGGCGTGAGACGACGAAGAAACGCCTCGCATTGTAGAAAGATGTGGAACAGGCAGTCAACTCAAGAGTTGACCATCAAAGGCGTAAGCCTAGGTCTGTTTAGGCGCGAAAAGGCGGATTTTTTTTAGATGAAATATTTTTTGGAAAGAAAAAAACTGATTAAATTTAAAAATAAAATACTTTTATAAACATGTTATATATCGAAAATTACATGGACTGACTGCTACTTCATGTCAAAGAAGCGCATAAAATTTAGTGAGTCATTTTTCTTTATTTCATCATATTCCCAAGTTAAAAAAAATTGTGAGTTTTTGGCTCTATTGCAAATGATGGAAAAATGATCACTAAAAATTACTCCGTAATAGTTACTAAAAAACTTACAAAAAAATCTTTCAGCGGATGGTGCCAAACATACCCTAATTACTCTGGATTTATAATTAGAGCGTATTTAGAAAATGTATTCAGCCGTGGGTATATGCAAATATGATTATCAGTGAAGGACAAATGTATTTCAGCTGCCAAGTATTTAGAAAAAGAGTATTACATAGCCCAAATGAGGAAATCTGAACCTGCAAAGGAGATGTGCAGGTCTGAATCATGTGCTCTCCTAGTATTCACAAATGGGACAGGTCTGAATATTAGGTGATGGAAGTAAATCCACCGGAAAATAATTAATAAGAGATAGCCGAAAATAATTAAATTGCTCAGGATAATCTTTAGAGAGATAAATGTATGTAGTGTATTCAGTGTATTTAGCTTTTTTAACTTTCCAAAGATTACATGATTTTATAGTAGAAAATAAGACATAAAAGATTTGGGCGACGTGCTCGCCATGTTCGAGTTGATATGCAAATCAATAATCCGGATCCGCGGAATCCTTTGTTGATTGTGTGAATATCTTGAAAAGACGTCATTGATGTAGTTGGTCCGTACGGAGTCACCATGTAGGCAAAACGTCCAGAGACACCATGCATATGATATTTGGATAAGCTTCTACTACTATGTCCAGGGTCGCTGTGGACGCTCCTCTGACTGAGGTACTTGATCGCGTCCATGGTTGCTGTGGACATGCTCTCTGGATAAGCCTACCCCGACATCCACGGTCACTGTGTAGTCCCTGATCTTCTATTAACTTGCGTCCACAGTCGCCATGTACAGTCTTTTATCTTCTAACCCGCGCGTGGTCACCACGTACGAGCTCTTCCTATACCTTATCATCATCCGCGCATAGTTACCATGCACATCAACCTCTAATTGTTTTCATCCATGTTAACCCGGTCAACATTTATCCATGGTTGGGATAATTATACCATCACAAGCCCCCCACTCCCTAAGCCAAATAGCATATCGGCGATAGGGAGTAAAGAGACACAGTTGCCGTGTCAATATAGAGTACATGGTCACCACGTCCAGCTTTGTTTTTGTTTTTTACCCATTCAATCATTTAGATTTTTATTTTTTATTTTTAACCAAAATGCACTCCATGACTTAAAATTAAAATTACTCTCACCCAATCTCCCAATTAGCTTTGCAGGCCACGACCAGTCACCTTTGCTCCATTCCAGGCCACAACTCGCCGTCAACCATCACTCGGTCAACGTCGCCGGCCGCGGGTTCAATTTTATCGGCGTCGCCGGCCGCGGGTTCAATTTTATCGGCGTCGCCGCCGACCACCGAACTCCTGTAGCCAAGCCTCTCACTGTCGCGAGTCTCCTCTGTTGCGCCCTGTCTTAGCCGCCATCACTGTGTAGTTTGGGCTGCGAGCACTTTAGCGTGAAGCAAACCACCGCCCTCGTCGGACGCTGGCGCCTTCCGGTGACATCCAGGACTGTTCGCCGCCGTCGTTTACCACCTGCGCCGTCGCCCCCTTGCTCTGGCTGTCTATCCCGATTCAGCCATCGTCGTTGTCTTGCTCTGGATTTTGCACCGCCGCCGCTAGGTCACGCAACAAGCAGGTAAGCACCGGTCTCCCTTTTGTCTTCTTTCCCTTTATTTTGATTTGATTTGTTTCTTCTTTCTCCAAATAAGTAAAGGATTAAATTAGTCTTGTGTTGACCATAGCTGCCTCGGCTATACCCTTGTTAACAGTTTACTACTAGTACGGAGTATTAATTTTGGCTTTGAAACATAGCTCCTTTGCTATCAATTGTAATGACATCCCTTTCAATTTTTTTTTTTTTTTTTTGAATAGCTAATGACCTCGGCTATCCCTTTGAATATACGTAGTAATTTTTTTTATAATTAACGGCTGATTTTTCTCTTGCCCCCTTTTTTTTGCATAATATTTTAGCTGTTAATACCTTATGGATATACTGGACTCCATAGACTCTGATGAATTGCTCAGTGGTGACGGGGAATTAGTGTTGGAGAATTTTCCTCATCCCTGGGCAGATGTGAATTCTGATGTTGAAGAAATTAGTCCCATAAAGCCACGAGCCGCTTCAGTCAAACCACCAAAACGTCGCTACCGTGGTCCGTATCCACCCTTAGACCCGAGCCCCATCTTACACTACAGGTCGCGCCTCTCAGTTTCCAAGTTTGAAAAGTATAAGAAATTTTTTCCGTCCACAGTGACTGTCCGATGTCCCGATTCGGAGGATATTGTAACCGATCCTCCTAAGGGTCACTTTTTCGGGGTGCATATTCTTTCCATAAAATTAGGATTCCGCTTTCCCACACACCCTTTGATTATCGAGTTTTTAAATGATCTTGAAATTTCACCTTGTCACTTGACTCCGCTCGGTCATCAGTATTTGGTAGCTTTCCTGGTCCGGTGTGGGACACTTGGGATTGAACCGTCCCTAGACCTCTTCAAGCACATGTTCCGAGCTGGGCAGTGCTCGGCATCTGATAGTCTGTCCTGGGTGTCTATCTCTCAGCGCAACCACTTTGACATGTGGAAGGTCACTCGTAGCAACGAAGCCAATTGGAAAGAAGAATTTGTCTATGTGTCGTCTGGATCTCCGTTACCTTTTTCATCGTCTTTGAATTGTCGGTTTAAGAAGTATTCGTACCCGAAACTTCCGGTTGACCAGGAGACATGGCCGGCTATGATTCTTTCTGGAGGACCGTATAGCCTCTCTGCCTTTACTTCCGAGGACCGCCTAACCACGGTTGGACTCTATTCGCCGTCACCATGTTCGGGTGCACACGCATCCACGTCCACGGATCAAGGTTGTCCACAGTTACTTTGTCTATAGGAGATAATACACGCATATATATATTAACTAACACATATGCATACCCTTTTTTTTTTGCAGATATGACATCGCGGTTGGAGATGTTCCAAAGCTTCGACCAGGATGGGCCTAGCGGTAGTGACCAGGGGCGCTCTGACAAGAAACCAAGGGTTCCCTCCGTCACAAAAGGCAAGGATGCCATTGTAACTGTGCCTTCATCCATTGCAAAACGCAGGGCCGCTAGCCCCGCAGCCCGCGTCACCCGTAGCATGAGTGATATTCCCACGGCGGGGATGACTACTTGGTTACGAGGTAACCTTGAGTTACCTCCGCTCTTATCACAGGTGATCACGGCGACTGAGAAGGAGAAAATTTCAACACTTGACCATGCTGCTTTAGAGAAGAGGAGCCACCATGGCCTGGCCGAGGTGACCCTCCCATTTCCCCGTTACCTTTTATTTGTGCATCTCGTGATACTAATTTTTTTTTGTAGCTACTGTTGTCCATCTCCGAGGTGAACCGAAGGAAAGATGAGCGCGAGAAAGATTTGTCGCTACAACTCACCGAATTAGCGAAGGAGGTGGCATCGCTCAAGCTCGTGCGTGACTCACATGCAGCCGAGGTCACTGCGCTTAAAGAAATGCACGCCGTGGAGTTGGCCAATGCAAGGGGGCGGGCCGTGGATGCATACAAGAATTCTCCAGAGTTCGTGTCTGATCGGGAAGCATACATTAATGCCCACTTGAACGATATTAGCAAGCATTGGTTGTCTACTCCGGAAGGTCGTGAGAAACTGGCCTTAGAGAGCTACGTTTCCTACCAGATCGGGATATATGCCACTCAACAGAAAATATATCCTATCTTGAGGGATAAGGCTGGTACCTCTTGCATCACTGATTGGGGACTTCCTCCTGAGGTTCCCAACCCTGAGAACCCGGTAGCCAACACGCCCCTGGACTATATTCCTTTTGACAGACTCCCCACTGATGAGGAGCTTGGCGATCTTCCTTCCGAGACAGATCACCCAGCTTCGACTGCTTCTGTGCCTTAGAGCATGCATGGGAGTGACGGATGGACGTAGTGTAGACTTTAATTCTGTCATGTCTTCAATTACGAGTACCCGAATTGCTCAACATGTTTTGAATTTCATAAAATAATAATGATGCATGTCTTATTTTCCTTTCGTTATTGTTTAATATTATCGCATAATCCATTATTTGACTAATATTTTGATTTTATGAGATCACACTGCGACCATGCCTCGTTTGGCACAGTTTGCATGATCACTTATAGTAGTATACGGTGATACTACACCAAGTGTAAAACTTTGGTGCATTTATCACCCCATATCTGCCTAATTTTGAATTGAGGCATTTTGTATTTATATAGAGTGACTAAGGACAACGATAGGCACAAGGTGTCGTTGACACCTCCTCCTTCGCTACATTGCGCACATCACTTAGCCCCAAAAGTAGGACTAAATGAGCGAACCTGACACTTGAGTGACCTAGGCTTGCTCTGGGGCACACAACGTTTTTTGGGAAACATGGCCGCTATCCGATAAATTTCACAGATGCATCCTGACCATACAACCCTGAGGGTTACGCATTTGTTGGGATCGATTTGCGATGTATCCTCGTCCCCTTTCTAGGGGCGAGTCTATACCCCTTGCGTGTTGAGAATTTCAGCTATGTCATAGGAGACATGCCTGACTACTTACTAGTTTTTTATTTCATTTTTTTTTCTTGTTTTGGGTGAGTTTTACACCCACGGTGTCCTTGGATGACACCTTGTAGTTTGTTTTTTGTTTTGGGTGAATTTTACACCCCTGGTGTCCTTGGACGACACCCTTTTTTTTTTTTTTTTTTTTTTTTTTTGCGGCCAAGGACTGCCATTATTCACTCTTGTGTGGATCAAGGAGATCTCTTATTTGAAAACAGTGGATGGAAAAGGACCGCGTTTACCACCATACGTGGTTACCATACATCATAATCATCAGGTGGAGTATCAGTGATAAATTATCAATGGTAAAACTTGAGCAAGTGTTCTGCGTTCCAAGTCCTCTCAATTTCTTTTCCCTTCGGTGTCTGGAGTTTGAACGTCCCTGGACGGATCACTGATTTAATCACGTAAGGGCCTTCATAATTTTTGGCAAATTTCCCCCCTTCCAAGGGTTTGCTGACCTCCCTTTTTCTCAAGACATAGTCCCCAACTTCAAAGTTGCGTTTGCGAACTCGAGAATCATGGTATCCCTTCACCTGCCTTCTATAGTTCTCCGCACGACAGAAAGCCGCTTCCCTTCTTTCTTCAATAAAAAGAAGCTCGGTCGCCATGACCTCCTCGTTCGTCTCGGGGTCATATTCCTCTTCTCGGCGGCTATGGAGGATTACTTCCGCAGGTGCCCTCGCCTCGAAACCATATGTCAAGGCGAATGGTGTCTCCCCTGTGGCCTTTCTTGGTGTGGTCCTGTATGCCCAGAGTATCTGTGGTAGTTCTTCAGCCCACTCCCCTCCGGCAGTTTCCAGTTTTTTCTTCAAACCGTCCATGATCGTGCGGTTTGCATTCTCCACTTGGCCATTCGCTTGGGGATAGGCAACTGACGCATTGCTGTGTTTGATCCCCCAACTCTCACAGAATTCGTTAAACCCGGATGCTCCGAATTGCCTCCCATTATCGGTTATGATCTGTTGGGGTATTCCAAAGCGACAAAGGATGTGCTTCATGACAAATTTTCTGCATTGCCCTTCAGTGATGCTTGCTAGGGGTACTGCTTCTATCCATTTAGTAAAATAGTCTATGGCAACGATAACCCATCTCACGCTCCCTGTTCCCCTTGGTAAGGCACCAATGAGATCTATCCCCCACCTTGCGAAAGGTATAGCCGTGCTGATGGGGGTGTAGTTGGTGGCTGGACGTCCCGGAGATTTCTGGAACTCTTGACACACCACACACCTCTTGACAAATTCAGCGCAATCCTTAACTATGGTTGGCCAGAAGAAACCTTGTAGGATTACCTTTCGGGACATGGTGTGTGCTCCTTGGTGAGCTGAGCATATCCCTGCATGTATCTCTTCCATGGCAACCTTGGCTTCATCTGGTCGTAAGCACTTGAGAAGCGTGCCATTGTAAGACCTCTTGTACAGTTTCTCATTCAAAATGGTATAACTCGGCGCCCTCATCTTAGTCACCTTGGCTTCAACCTCCTCCGCGGGCAGCACTCCCTCGTTGATATACTTGATGAGGGAGTCAATCCAGTCCGCGTCCCTCGTGGTTATGGCCTGGACAGGGCATGCATATATGCTGGAAGTGTCCAACTCTTCTATTCTCGCAATCTTTGAAATCCTTTCCGGTGTCTCTGCGCTTAGTTTGGATAACATGTCTGCTTCGACATTTTGGGCTCTTGGTATCTGTTCAATTTCATAGGCGATGAACAATTTCAAAAGTTCTAGGGCAGCGTCACGATATAGCCGCATCCGTTCTTCCTTCGCCTCAAACTCAGTCGTGATCTGTCCAACCACTAGTTTTGAATCACACCGTATCTTGACCTTCTCTGCCCTCATGTTCGCCGCCAAGCGTAGGCCACATAGTAGAGCCTCGTACTCTGCTTCATTATTCGACACCTTGAAGTTGAACCGGATAGCGTAATAGGCCCTGAAGCCTTCGGGCGTGGTGAGGACCACTCCTCCTCCGCAAGATTTGGCCGCGGAGGAGCCATCCGTGGACAATATCCACCACTCTTGTTCATCGTCGCCATGCTTCATCTTCGTTGCTTCCTCCCGCGCTGTGCATTCTACTATGAAATCTGCAAGAGCTTGCCCCTTGATGGAAGGTCTTGGCTTCACCTCTATATGAAATTGACTTAGATACACTGCCCATTTGATCATCCTCGAGGAAGCCGTGGGACTTCTCATTAAGGCACCCAGGGGTTGGTGTGACAGTACATGGACAGGGTGAGCTTGGAAGTATTGTGTGAGCCGTTTGACCGTCCACACCACGGACAGAACAGTTTTTTCTATGGTTGTGTACCGTAGCTCAGCGTCCCTCAAAGTTTTGCTTACGTAGTAAACGGGTCTCTGGACGCCGCCATCTTCACGCACCAGGACAGAACTAATTGCACTTGGTGAAACCCCTAGGTATAGGTATAATGTCTCCCCCGCCTCAGGTTTGGACAAGACAGGAGGAGACAAGAGGTAGTTTTTCAATCCCTCGAATGACTTTTGGCACTCCTCAGTCCATACGAAACCCTTTGATTTCTTCATGATGTGGAAGAATGGCGTGGCTTTCTCTGCTAGTTTTGATAAGAAGCGGTTCAAAGCCGCTAAGCGTCCCGTCAATCGTTGCACTTCTTTGACATTACGAGGAGGTTCCATTTTGAGTATGGCCTTGATTTTCTCTGGATTTGGCTCGATTCCTCTTCTACTCACCAAGTAACCCAGGAACTTCCCTCCTTGGACGGCGAACGTGCACTTCTTTGGATTGAGACGAAGATTGAACTTCTCCATGATTTTGAACACCTCTGCCAAATCCACGGCATGCGTACCTGCTCTTTTACTCTTCACAATCATATCATCCACGTAGGCCTCCATGGTGCGGCCTAGGACAGGTCGAAAAAGTTTAGAGATCATGCGAGTGTACGTTGCCCCAGAGTTTTTCAGTCCAAACGCCATGACTAAGTAACAGAAAACACCCTCTGGAGTCATGAATGAGGTCTTCTCTGCATCCTCCTCATGCATGCGAATTTGGTGGTATCCACTGAAAGCATCCATGAAACTCATCAATTCACACCCCGCTGTCTCGTCCACCAATTGGTCGATGTTAGGCAATGGGAATGGATCCATCGGGCATGCCTTGTTTAGGTCAGTGTAATCAACACACATCCTCCACGTTGGGGGTTTAGGTGCCAATACCACATTTGCCAACCATTCTGGGTATTTTACCTCCTTGATGTGGCCGATTTTTAACAAGGTGCCCACTTCTTTCCTTACGAATTCCCGCCTGTCCGAGGACATGTAACGTTTCTTTTGTTTCACCGGTTTTGACATAGTGTCCACGTCTAGGCGATGAGAGATGACATCTCTACTGATGCCCGGCATGTCCTCTGGTCCTCTTGCAAATATGCCTTGGTACATAGTCAGGACAGTTATGATCTCAGCGCGGAGCTCAGCTGACAATCCGGTGCCTATCTTAACCTTGCGCTCTGGGGTTGCAGGGTCAAGGGTGACCTCTTCTGTCCCTTCTGCTGGTTCAGCACGGGGTCTTCGCTCTTCATCTTGTAGGTATTGTGTGGCCACAGTGTTTACCTGGAGGCCATGCCGCCCCACCTTCTTTGTGATTTTTATGTAGCATGTTCGGGCGAGCTTCTGGCTCCCGCGTGCTATCCCCACTCCGGTTGGTGTTGGGAACTTAATACACAGATGTGCTGGGGACACAATGCACTGCAAATCTTCCAGGCCTGGCCGTCCGAGTATAAGATTATGTGCACATGTCAGTCGGACAACTACGAACTCCATGTTGAGTTTCACTTTATGGGATGTGTCCCCCACCTCTACCGGGACCGTGACAACTCCCTCTGCCTCGATAGAGTCACCCGTGAACCCAGATAACGGGGTTTTTATCGGATGGAGTTTTCCTTTGGACAACTTCAGTTTCTCGAAAGTGTCGAGGTACATTATGTTAACGGAACTTCCAGTGTCGACCAGGGTACGGTGTATGACAAGATCATTGATCTCCATTTTGATAACCATGGCATCCCGATGTGGGCTTGGACATGGTGGTAGGTCATCATCAGTAAAGCATATAGGTTCACGTCGTACCTTCTTTTTCATTGGAGAGTGCATGATCTCACCAATGTACAGTTGACGAGCCCATTTCTTTCGAAGGGACGAAGAGTCCCCGCCTGCATTACCTCCATAAATGAAATTGATGTCATGGTTCCTCTTGTCTCGCTTCGGCCCTGGCTCATCCGAGGCATCCTCGTCACTCTCATTTCCAATGTGTCTTTTCTCTGCCCTTCGGGTCTCCGGCTGCGTGCATGCCACTTGTTCTGATGATTTCCGCCATACATGGTTGGGTTGCTGTGCAGCCCCTTTGACGAAGTTACTCAGATGGCCTCTTTGGATCAGTCTTTCAATCTCGCGTTTCAAGGTAAAGCACTCCTCCGTGTCGTGATTATCCACCCGGTGATAGCGACAATA